CCCAACATCTTTTGTTGCTTTAAAGCCTCTCTGGCAACAACGCACTATAGCGTAAGTCGCCGCTACCGACTCCGCCGCTGATGATCGTATTATTTATTAATTAAATATTTTAAATTACTTTTCTTTCTCGCATACTGCTTACGCAGAACATTGTAAGGCAAACTCATCAGACGTTCTAAGGCTACGCGTTGTAATATCTTCGTGAATACACCGAATACTATATATATTGCATTTTATGCCGGAAATATATTTTCATTTGAAGTTTGGAATAAAAAATATGTTTGTCACACTTCGTTTCTTTACGAGATAAAATGATATTTGAATTGTAAGAAAGTCAGAAATTGTGGTAATATTACATAACGATAACATTGTATTATTCCGAGGAAGTAAGTGGTTTTGTAGCACCTATAGTTTTCAAATATTTGACGCCGTTACATTTACACTACCAGTGATTAGAAGCTGGTACCAGTTTGTAAGTAGAAGCGCTTCAAATGATTTCCAATGAATTTTCTTGAAAACCCAAAAGTTCTCTGTGAAAAAGTTCTTCAAACTTCACGTTTACAGAAACGTTTAAACATTTCCTGAGAAACTGAGAAATTTCACAAAAACTTCTGAGAAATGTTTTAATGATAATGTACATAAAGGTTTAGATTTCCCTTCAGTAATCTAAAGGTCGTCTTCCAATTCTACTAATGAGGATTCGAAAAATTGAGAATTCTTTCAGGCGCCAGTGGCTGTGAGCAAAGAAGAGTGGCGGAAATCCGCAAAAAAAAAAAAAAAAACCTCTAAATTGAGGATATAAGGTAACTCACTAATGCGACATGTTTGTGCCATTCCGTAGCACCATTAGTTGATTAATGTTCGGAGAATTTGTTGAAGTAATTGTTCAATTTGTGGATATAGACCATTTATTATTATATTTGTTAATAATGTGATGAAGGTATATTTTGTTAGCAACTGTGTTACTATGGTGTAATTAATCACAGGGTTGTTAGTAATGCTTGAAATATTAATGGAAGATTTGAGAAATCACTAATATTACTATTGGGAAGATAACTTGTGATTTGTTGGGAATGTATTGTAAGAATGGATTGTTTAATACGTTGATTTGATCTTTGGCACGTTTTAAAAATTGTTTGGGAATTTTGGGAAATAATTTTTTTAGAATATTTCACATCTTTTGTATTTTGCTGAATGATTTTTAAAGAATTTAACATACTTTGGTAGATAACTTTTTAGGCTTTGGACATTTTGAATAATGTCCATCTAAATATATAACAGACTGTGATTGTAATTTATAATTATCTTACGTGTGGTTAATGTTATGGCGTATTTTACATTGAACAGGAGTATTTTGTTTTTAAATTTCACGACCTTGGTCATATCTAACAGTTCTATTACACACGTGTCTAATTATTCTCTTTTTGGTTGAATAATCTATAAACTGAAACTACTTCAAAGTTTTTTATCTAACTCTGATCATTTGCATTCCTTTAAATAGTATGTAGATACGTCACATATTGTGGCTGAAATTGTCTGCCTAGCTGCTTTACGATAGGTAAAATACGGAAGTGATCTTCTGGATGGAGAGATTCGGTACCGACTTACATGTCGGCTATCATAGCTTTCCCTAACCCCAGCCGGGACAAGCTCCCGGCTCCCGCCTGATAGCCCAGGATGTGTATGTAAGTGTGCGTGTGTGTCTCAAGGTAAGAGGAGAGGATGGGATAAGGCAGACGAAGGAAAGATCGCGCGCGGTTCGTGGACCGTTTGTAGGGAATTGCTCCGGCATTCACCTCGTGTTGATAGGAGAAACTAAGGAAAATGATAGATCAGAGAAGCCGGCGGCTAGAATTTTCCAGACAGCGACTGACTTCGACCCAGCTGTCTTCCTAGTGTCTGAAATCCAGCCATCGTCGGGAGTGGGACACCAGAACCTCGCGGTTGCATTAATTGATGCTTTGAGGCTGCCGAGGCAGTCCTGATCGGCGATGAAGTGCTGAGTTGTGTGGAGGCAAATCCCGTCGCTGCGTAGAGATCCCCCACCGCACACGGGAGCCGAATACTGATGCTGTATTTTCAGAACAGAGCGGTCGCGTTGAGAGAAAGGTGGTTCCTAGTATTCGTTGACGTAGGATGGCACCTCCCCAAGCCGGCGTGGCAGGGGAACCAACCGAGAGAGATAAAGGCGAAGGCTGTCTTCCGAATGGCGCGGCCAAGCTTTGTGCGCGAGTGCGGTGGCGTAAGGTTTTATGACCAGTGCGGCCTCGCGAGGGGCGGGGCGGGGCGGGGCGGGGCC